AATGACTAAAGAATATAAGGACATGTAACGCCCCTATACGGGCTGCAGCAGAATTTGTGACCTTTTTTTTTTGATTTGGTGGCAAACAATGAGTCATCATTTGGTCACCAGCGACAATTTTAGCGATTTTTAATAGTTTGTGTGTAGTAAACTTTGTATAAACTTTATTACAATGGTGATTAGTTGTAATTAGCTTTCAAGTGTAAAAGCAGCAGCGATAAGAAAGAACCAGGAGTTACGTTTCATAGGTAAATAAACAGTCCACTCCAACTTTTTAGCGTTTTCTTATTGAATTCGATAATTATTCTTCAATTTCAATTAACATCTATATGTACTTGATATGTGCTATACGTCGATACTAGTTTTGTGCCTTTTGTTAACATTTTAATACGTTTTTTTCGTAATTAATTAGGATGATACACCATAGGCGTAGTCAAAGCAATTATCAAAAAATATAAATATTGCTTCAAACAGCTAGGTTAAGAAAAATATGTGCCACGGCACTGTTTGGTGACATCGTCACAATTTGCTCTCGGGTGTTATTTGTCCTTGGATTCTTTAGTCATTGTTAAAAACACTAACCACTTTTTTTCAGATAGTTTAAAAAACGTTATTCCGATTTGAATGGGATTTTGGTTGTCTATGTTTCGCTAAAGGTTTCAACATTTGGCCAAAGATAATTCTACTAACTATAATATTCTTTGATTTGGCTTAACTGGCAAAAGTGCTTCGTTTGTCCGTTAGAGGGCATCAATCAAAAATAAACCCGAACGTTAATTAATTTAAAAATTACTAATTTTTGTAAGCTTTTTATGAAGCTTATTGTCAAATATAATTTGTGATACTAACATAAAATATCATATTTTCGCCAATTAGATTATTAGCGCAAATAGATTTTATGCGCCTTTATAGCGCGATGTGACAAAAAAAATTGTTGGAAGTGCGAGTTTTGAAAAAAATATTTTTTTTTTCCTGAAAAAGTATGTACGATGGCGTTTTTTACAAGAGACAAAATATGTAGTAAAAACTAGATGGACCATTTTAAGAAAAGAAAATCGGCCGTCGCGCGTCGGTGTAGTTGAAAATATTTATACTAAAATTTATGTAGGGGTGGGAGTAGTTATTACGTTCCCCGTATTTTTCTTGATTTTTGTCAGTGTTAAATGTTAAAGCACTTAGCAAAACATAGGCACCTAAAATCTCATTCAATTCAGAATAACGGTTCTTAAAATAATCTGAAAACATGTGTTTATTTTTTTAAAGTTTGATGCCCTCTAGCGGACAAACGCAGCACTTTTGTATAAAGGGAAATTGTGTCCAATAAACTTATTTTGATTCCAAAAATGCGTAGTACTTCTATGTCCACGAAATTTTGGGACATCCTCTATAAACATACCCAAGCAGCATTTGGACGTCGGAACAACGTTGTGTCACGCGACCAAACGTCGGGGCGCAACGTCGGCACAACCTCGTGCCAACCCTAGACTGCACTAGTTTGGAGAATAATTTTTGGGTCGAAACGACGTTGGATACCGACGTTGGCTAGAAGCCTAATTTAGTACAATCTGCAACGTTGTTTAAAATCATAATTCACAGAAATACAAAACGACGAATATGGCGTCTAAGTCGCGTTTTATCCTAAATTGGGATAATTATAGTAAAAATATTATTTTTATGATTTAGTTAGAGACATATGTCAGATGGCAGTGAAGGAAAACAAAACAAAAGTATTTAAGTGTGGAGGATGTTTGAAGATCATAATTATTATTGAAACACTTTAACCGACTCTGTAACTCGTTACCCAAGGCAAAAAAGTTAAACGCAAACAACTTTATTGATAAATGTATTGTTTCTACTTTGAAAAATACTAATGGGCCTTAAAATTAAAGAAGTTTTAAAAATTTTCTTGAATTTTTTTTTTAGTAAAATGAGAATAATTTATTCGCAGTCGAAAAAATTGTTTCCGCGTGTTTTTTAGGGTCAAATATTTGAAGTTAATGTATTCAAAAAGCAGGAATTGCTATTTTAGGAACGAAACATTTTCTTATTTAACAACATGGCGGCTTTCACTTTGTTGTTTTGGAGATTAAGATGGAGTAGTTCGAGTAGTCGCATACTGGACTAATAAAGTCGCAGTTCGGCCTTAACAGGTAGTATACTAGTCGCAAGATTGCCTAATTTAGTCATCCTAGAGTCTAGCTTGTGCCGCCCTCTATAATATAAATAAACGAGGGAGTGGATAAACTATCGGTAATATATGTCGATGTATATTTAAATTTAGTTTTATATGTACCTTTCTTATGTCCCATTTTAATTAAGTTTTTTTTTATAAAAACAAAAACAGCACTGAACTGTCTGACTGAACAGAACAATGAAGTGAAAATTTAAAATTTAAGGTTATGGTTCAATACAGTTGCAAAAAGGTAGTGACTCGACGTCCTACCAACGTAAGAATAAGGAAATCTAAACAACGTTGGAATTAGTAAAACAGACGACGTTTGCATAACGTTGGAATAGGTCCTGAAACTGACGTCGGAAAACTCTATATTGTCCAACGTTGTAACTACGTTGTCCGAATCACCTAAAGATCACTAAGCAAAAAGGTTACAAGACAACGTTTATTCGACGTCGCAGAAGCTTCCTACTTTGCTGTAGTACTAGTCCAACGTCGGCACAACGTTATAAAAACGTTTAAATTTATTTTAATACCCAAGGTAGGGAGCTAACTATTTTTTGTAACTAATCCAACGTTGTGATTAGTAAACATGTGGTCGCAAGTCGTGAAAATGCTACTTGGGTAGAATATCTTATCATTCTAAACTTTTAATATAGTAATAAAATTTACTTAAAACAAGTTACCATTACTAAATAAGCGCTTAAATAATTTAGCCTATAGATAATCTAGAATGGAATGTTTTAACTTTAACTACATGGGAGGGACCGTATAGGTATACAGGGTGTCCCAGGCTGAGCGTGCATTAGAAGTTTCTAGAGAACTACAATATCTAGCTCGGAGATTTTTTGCTCATAGATCATAGTTTCACAACGAGATCTATCGATTAAAAATATTGTCAATATGGCGGTACTTCCGGCGAAATACCGAAAGTTGACAGCAACTTTCTTATTTTAAATGGGTGCCCCCATTTTATATTACATACTTAAATTTTCTGTAAAATTCTATGAATATTGATGTTAAACACTCTATATCTAACGTTAACCGTTTTTGAGAAAAAAAATATTTAAAATTTTTGGACGAAAAAAACTACCTGTCAAAAAAATGTGTATAGCCTAAAAGTCAAATTTAGTGATTACCACAGCCACTGTGACATAAATAGAAGACATGTGGCTATCTATTTCAAAAATTAAATTGTTTAAATATCATATAATAATGGTGGTCGCTGTCATGGAATTGAGCGATTGGAAAATTATCATAAATCATTTTTTTCAAATGGAAACCCACATTTTTTATTTGCCTAATGAAAAGGTTTTTTAATTCGTTACTTTTTAACTATACATGTTCCTATACCTAAAATAAATCGTTTTTAAGTTATTTAAAATTTAATTTGAAAACGTATATTTTTCTTGATTTTATCTAGCTTCTTTTGACATTAAGTGTCAAACGGTTGACAATTTATTTCCATCTGTCAGAACACGAATTATTTGAATTTCCTATATTATACTTTTTAATAGATAGATCTCGTTGTAAAACAATGATGTGCAAAAAATCTCCGATCTAGATATTGTGGTTCTCTAGAAACTTCTAATGCACTCTCAGCCTGGGACACTCTGTATATGCAACTAGAATTTACGCAAGATAAACCGGCGGTATAATTAAACAATTTTTAATATTTGTTATTTAATTTGCATTGGAGCATCACATAAAAAAAACACATTTAGTCCAAAACGTTTTTGACTAAAACTGTTTTTTTTATGTGCATCCAAGAATCACTCTGTATTAACAAACCTTACAAATTATACAAAAATACATTTACAGGAAGTGAGTGGCTTGAACGTTTAGAATAATATATTTTTCGACTTTACGAATAAGGCTTATATCCTATCATAAATTTAAGCAGGCGTTCACGAACTCACTTAAAACCACACTCATATACGATACTTATTAAAGTATTTTCGCTGTCCTTTTTGAAAACATATTATTTATTCAAAAAAAATCGTAAAATTTCTTCTTTTCTTCTAAAATTTTTTCGTCAAATTAAAAATGTTATATTTTTCATATTTTTAGTTCTATTTTCATTATTTTTTTAGCAAACTGTATATAAATATATTAACTCTAATTTGTATACACAATTTTTTTTATAAATTTTAGTCTTTGGCTTATAATACAGAGTTTAATAGAAGGGTTGTTTTTTACCTTATTTTTAAAACACCCTATGCAATAATTTCGTCAATAAATTCTCCTTATCCTAAAAAACTATTTTTCCGTCATATCTCCTGAGCATTTTGTTCTTTGGATCATGTTATTACATGCCTTGCAATTTTTTCAATTATCAATTCTTTTTGATGTTATTTTTCAATATAACGAGGTGGCTTTGGTAATTATTGTAACTATATGCTCTAAATACTTATAGGTACTTTATGTAATGAAATTTTTATAACATATCTATTGACCGACCAAAATATAAATGATTTTACTTCTATATTTGAATCACCTTGTCTATTTACTTTCACATTAAAAACAGAGAGATTGCAGTGAAATAAAAAAAGATGGTGCATTTCGGAATTTTGGACCATCCTGTATAAATTAGCAATTTTTCCTAAGTTTGGATTGGATCTGTAAATAATTCAAAAATCATATCGATTTTCTCAATTTAATATTCGGCCGAATGCGCTAGGTTGCTTTGTATAACGAGTTGCCTAAAATAAAAATTGAAAAAGTATACTATAAAATCATCAACGCGGCGCTATAGTCTACCTTCTGTTCGACAGATGTCGCCAGGCGCATTTCTAAGAAGTTTTCCTTGTTTGACTTTTCCTTGACTGCTTAAAATGGTGGTCTGTCAAATTGACTGCACGTATCTTGTAGGGCGGGGAGTTTCTCGATCGTTGTGAATCAGTTTGTTCGCGATTAAACAAATAATATTTATAAAAAAAACTGTGTCGTGTCCGCGGTTTCGGCGCTATATACGCGCGTGGTGTGTATGAACCAAACGGTGTAAATAGATTTGTAGAGTAATTGTCATTGTGTACGACTGTATTGCAGTTCAAGGTAAACAATCAAATGTATTGCATCTCTTTCTTGTATGTGTGCCGATTTCGACGAAATAAAAAGAAAAGTGGAAAGTGGCTCGTAGGCTAATCGACGTGTCTCGGCAATTTGTCCGTAATATTGCGAAAATCTGGCTGTATTGGGTTTTCAGTCATGACTGGCTGCTGGATTTTGATTAACTCGATAATTGAATGGCTTGTACTGACATAATTAACTTAGTCCTTTTGTTTTACGCGTCCCTAATTATTTTCTTGCGCTTATTTAATTACGAAACCAGGAAATGCTTAATGGCTATCGTTTTAATTGTTTTGAGGTTATATTATTTACTTAAAGAGCTATTTAATGGGAATATAATTTACTTAATGTCTTAGCTCTTGATATCAGCATCTAAACTTTATAATGAGTTGGAATTAATAAGAATCGTGTCATAAATACACATTACAAAGTTTTTTTAATCGTCCATCAAGAATGAAAAACTTAATATCAACTCCAGATGGGTTTCCTATTTATGTATATTTTATATTAGAATATTAAGAAGGCATTTGCATTCTAAAGAGTCGGACTGAAAATTGTCTATTGAAGACATCAGCACATTATATCCATTCAATTCACATTGATATTGTTACATCACATGATTAACTGGTCTAAAAACTCAACTGTCAGACCAGAAGACGTTGTATGGAACATATTATTAGACATTATTAGATAAGAAGAGAAGAAAGATGTACCTACCATAGGTACTAACCAATATAATTTTAGGAAATTGATCAAGGCGTAATGAATTGTTCGATTAACAATTAAAAAAGTCTTAGGGCGGATTTACCCAATTTCTTAATTGCTATTCCTTAATTCTTATTTCTTAGTCTCTAATTTGTAATTCTTAATACACAATTCTTTATCCCTTATTTTTTTAGAGACAGTTATCCAATGTCTTAATCCTTATTTCTTAATTCTTAAAACTGACACTAGTAGATCAAATCAAATCGTTTTTATTTCGCTGTGTTATTGTGTGCAATGAGGTCCATACAAAAAATTGCAGCACTTTCGGGTTTGTTTATAACCATGGCTTGTTGTGTCGCTACTCTCGTGAATCGCCACCGAGGTTGTAGGTGATTTGGGGTTCGCCCCATGAATAGAAGAAAGGACATGGAAGGCAATTTTGGAACTCTAATACAAGACATGCCTTCCTTGGAATGGGACGAACAACAGTTCACAAAATACACAAAAAATTAGCATTTCAAAATGTCACGCATGCGCATCTACACGTTTTCCTTAATCGCTAATTCGTAATCGCTAAAAAGTTAAAAGTTGGGAACTTTCAAAATAAAGAATTACGAACCGTGGTTAAGAATTAAGGATTAAGACACTGTATAACCAAACTAACTGCATAACACGTATTTTATCTTTTTATAATTTAGCGAATAAGAAATAAGAATTAAGGAATAGCAATTAAGGAATTGGGTAAATCCGCCCTTATTATCAATTAGGAATTCGAGTAACATAAAAAAAATGTTTGTGCACTAAGTACCTATGTGTGCATATTTCAAGTGAAACTTCTTACTTCCGTGTGTTTGTCCGTTTGAGGACAAATTGGGGTACCTCTATCCACGTGCCGAGTTTGATTCCAATCGACCCATAATTAAGAAAATTCCTGATGGTTTCGTCCATTTAGAAGCATCGGTTCGAAACGTCGAGGGTGCAATCCTAAAGCCCGTCCCCAATTATGCGGAAATTGAGCCATATTTTTCTTCAATATCATTTTTCTTCAATATCAAATCCTTAGTCCCACCAGGGGCGGATACAGAAATTTATTTTAGGGGGGGGCCCGGAATGTATTTTAGGGGGGGGCCAAATAAACGATAATGTAGAATATGCTTTTTAGAGCGCCATTTTTAGTATAGTTTAGTAGCCAATATGCTTTTTAGTCGCTCACATAGCCTACCCACCAAATTTGGTCGCGATCGGACGACATCAACTTTTGACGTATCTTACGTCAAAACTAACTGGTTACAGTGACACGTGTCGTACACGGTCAAGCCGCCTTTCTCCAATGTATTGACATACCAAATTTCATTTAAATCGGACGATTTTTTGATTTTATTTATTGATGATAGGGTTTTGTAGTGCACGAAGTGTCGTCAAAATATCACGAAAATATTGTGCTCTTCGAGCCCTATTGACATTCCAAGTGTCAGCACCCTAACTCACATAGGGCCCGACTTCGCTATAACTAAGATCTATATAGGTACCTACCTATACGTATATTGAAACGCTTTGAGTTTGGTATTGTCAACTAAGTAAATAAAGAAAGAGTATTTCATATGCAGTAATTCTGAAATATTGTATTTAATCTTATCTTGCATGATAAAGTTTATATACATAGAACTTCAATTTTACAGACTTATTTTTGACTGTCTTCGAAAAACGGCGTTTGTTTGATCTAAAAGTAGCCATACATATTTAGTTTTTTTCTGTAAGTTTGGATTCTTGAAATTTGGGCGGTGATAACCTTGAAGCGGCCTTTGCTTTTGTTAAACAAAGTGTAACGAATGAAAGATGCCAAACCACTCACAAGATCGACAGATAACCTTAAAGAAATTGAGTCAATTGCTACAAAAGACGCTGTCAGTAAAAAAAACTTGAGAAGTTCCTACAGAAAAAAAAACTGTGTGTGCAATATATGGTCGTCTGAGGTCTCCATTCGGGTACCTCTATCCACGTGCCGAGTTTGATTTCAATCGACCCATAATTAAGAAAATTCTTGATGATTTCGTCCATTTACAGGCATCGGTTCGAAACGTCGAGGGCGTAATCTAAAGCCCGTTCCCAATTATTCCGAAATTGAGCCACATTTTTGTTCAATATCAACTCCTTAGTCCAACCTTGATGAAGATGTAAACGAAATGTTGTGCAAACTTTGCAGGGTGGGACCGTGTGCCCCGTCGTTCATGTAGCCTACCCACCAAATCGCAATCGGACGACATCAACTTTTGACGTTTCTTACGTCAAAACTAACTATCACAGTGACACGTGCCGTACACGGTCAAGTCACCTTTGTCCAATCTATTGAAATTTGGTATTTTCATTTAAACCCAACGATTTTTTGATTTGATTCATTGATAATGGGGTTTCGTAGTCCACGAAACGTCGTCAAAATATCATGAAAAGATGGGGCTCTTCGAATGGACGGTTTAAAATAAACCGGACGATTTTTTCGCCATTGATGACTAAGAGTGGGTCCTACGTGGGACCCTCCACTGCGGCCACGAGGGCCTGTTGTGGCTTAATATTGTGGCCATTGATGATTAGTGCACAAAACGTCGTCAAAATATCGATGCTCCAAAGAGCCATCTCAACTTCCTCATTGGCTTATAACTTTTTCGATCGTAACCAATTTTCTTGACGCTAGTGTCACGGCCTTGAAATTTTACTTCCAGCGCTCGTAAAGAAGTTCTATTATAGAGGACTATTATATTCAACGCAATATTATCATTCTATAACTAAGATCTAGGTACCTACCTATACGTATATTGAGACGTTTTGCGTTTGGTATTGTCAACCTCGTTTCAACTATATAAAGAAAGAGTGTATTTCATATGCAGTAATTCTGAAATATTGTATATAATCTTATCTTGCATGATAAAGTTTATATACATAGTAGATACTTCATTTTTACAGACTTTACTTTTGACTGTGTTCAAAAAAACGGCGTTTGTTTGATCTGAAAGTAGCCACACATTCAGTTTTTAGGCTTTCGTACCCAAAGGGTAAAAACGGGAACCCTATTACTACATACATACAGCCGTTACTCGCTGACGAGTATTCGACACACATAAAGAAGATGGCCACGCAAGGCGTTTTCTTTCATGAGCTTTTCTGTGACTGAAAAGCCCGATACGTGATGTTTTCTGCCTACCGCACTCCGAACATTCAAAAATCTCATTGCTTTGTTGCCTCTTTACTTTTTGGTTGCCGCTGTTAACTGAGTTTACAACCCTTCTCCATTGAGTTCTATTGTGAGCTGCTTTTTCCCACTCATTCTGCATGTTAATTCCCTTTAAATTTTCGTGGAAAATGTCCTTGTACCTTTTCAGTTGTCCACCCGGCCTCCTCTTACCGTCTACAAGCTCACCGTAAAGCAGAGATTTTGGCATGCGGTTTTCTTACATTCTGCATACGTGACCAGCCCATTTTAAGCGAGATTTTGTGACCATGACTTCAATACTCTCGCAGTTAGCTTTTTCAAGGACCGATACGTTTGAGACATGATGGAACCACCGGACTCTTAAGAGTTGTCTAAGGTGTCTCTGTTGCAACTTGTTTAATGCGTTCATGTGTCGGCGGTACGGCACCCAGGTTTCGCTCCCATATAACATGGTGGGGATTATAATTGCTCAGTACACTGCAAGTTTTGTCTTTGTACTCAAGTCATGATTGTAGAAAACCCTGTCTTTTAATTTCCAGAATGCTCTTGAGGCGTTGCTAATCCTGTGCTGAATTTTAGAGTCAATATTGACCCTTTCCGAAATCAAACTGCCAAGGTAATTGAATTCCGCCACATATTCCAATAGTGCTTCTCCGATTTTTATAGCATTGTTGTGATCTTCCGGGGGAGTACACATGATTTTAGTTTTGTCGATGTTTAGCTTAAGGCCCAAAGCCTCGTATTCCCAGGTATATGTGTTCAACATTTCTTGTAATTGTTGTACCGTGTTTGCAACTAGAGCGCAGTCGTCAGCGTATTGAAGTTCTGTGATAAATTTTGTACGTGTTTTTGCCCTGAGTCTTTTTATGTTGAACAGACCGCCGTCCTATCTGTATCTAATGCCCAAACCTCTCTCCTGCAGTTTGCTGTCCACTATAATGCAGAGCGCTGCCATGAATATGTTGAATAGGAGAGGCGCTAAGACACATCCTTGCCTAACTCCTGTATTTGTTAGGAATGGGTCGCTCAGTGATCCATGATGTGACACTCTTGACTTGTTGTTGTTATGGAGGCT